AACAGCTGATGTGCGAAGTTACTCTCCAACATGTCTCTTATTGGAGACACGCGAGATAACCAAGTGTGAACAAAATTGCCTCTGTCTACTTCAGAAAAGAGACAACTGGCGATACCGAAGACGTTCAACTTCCTTAAGGTTTGTGTATATACATATTTACTTAAATAAAATTGTATGTATTTTAAAAATAACCATTTTATTGTTCAATCCTTGACAAATTCATACCACTGTTGTTCTTTAGCACTTGCAGCAAAGCTACTAATATTCCTCTCCGTCTAGATTTGGTGCCAAATGATTCTCTCTCAAATTTCTCAGTTAAATACATCATTGGACAAGTAGAACTTCACATCTTCAAACCACTAAAACTGATTAGTTGTTTATTTCATATAGTGAAGCTGCTTTAGAAAAGGTATTTTCTGACAAATAGGAAATCTGAACTTACAAAATGTATTTTAAACACACCGACAAAACTTAAAGTTTCATATTCTTATTTTGTAAAAAAAACAGAGGCAATTTTGTTCATACACACACACACACAAGGTTATCTCGTATGTCTTCAATAAAGGTCACTGTGTATCAAATTCCTTTCAGAGTTATTGTCTGAATCCCCCTCTCTGATATACATGCTAAAAGGTACATCTTTTTTAGGTTTTTTACATGGAACGCTTCACGATTTTGAGTGTCATCCTTGCGCAGGGGCCATGCTAATCTTCTCTGTATCGTTCCAATTTCAGTATATGTACCGCCGAACATTTACATGGATGTATTTGCGAAAAAAGTCATTTAAAATATAAAATATATTGATGAATAGCGCATTAATGATCAATATTGAAAATTAAGAAATATCAACCTCTGAGATGTACATTTATTTATTTTCATATTAGAGAGAGAGAAAGAGGGGGGTACATTCGGAAGTCATAATATATATTTTCCTTTTTCTGTTCTCAAAGGTACAATATATTTCAGGATACGCTATTGAAACATTGTACCTTTGAGCAGATTAAGGAAAATATTTCGAAATATCCCCAACAAGAATATAAAATAATAAATAGCAATATATCTTTTTTTAAATTTTTATATAGAATACTAAACGAGAATTTGAGAAAAATCAAACTGAAAATCCATCGAAATGCATTGTATATTAAATATTAACGCTGCAGAGAACTTTTACCTTAAAATATGTTGTTGTAGTTGTTGTTGTTGCTTATTCCTTGAATCGTTTAAACGATCTCCATTAGGTTACATTATCTCAACTTTTCTATTATAGTCCTGGGGTTTCCCAGTAGTCTTTTTTGGAGAATTTGATACAATTCAATTGATGTTGAGTACTGGCTGGTTGGTAATCGTTTTTGGGGAATTTCGGGAATGTTTTGATTTTTCCATTAAATTTGAGCATTCTAAGATGTCCTGTTCGTAATCTTGAAATCGCCGTTTGTTCTTCCCTATTAAGAGTGTGGAAAGAAGATTCGTTAGGAATGGGGGAGTACCATGGGTGTACTTTAAAATATCATAAGAAATTAGGTATCAGTAGTGATTGGTGATATCAATAGTGAAATACCCTTTAAAATGGACATTTAAATGCATTTCCGACCAAATTTCTCAAGTACGAATGAACAAGGAACCAAACGACGAGTTGACAATTAAGATAAAACCTCAAATGGCAACAATGGTCACCTATTGTTTTCCCCGAGAAGAGGACGGAGTTGGGGAAATACAATACTTACATATTCCCCTTTATAAAGGAAACGTTTAGAAAAACCTTGAAATTGAGGTTGCCGTAGTCGAAACAAATGAATAATCATTCTCTTCAAAGAAAACAAAAAAGCGGGTAACGCAAATGCAAATTAGTAAAGGCACGAATTGTTTTTTAGTAAGATATAATTCCAATCGAATATTACTCTATGGAAACTTTACCCAGAACTAGCAGTTGATGCTTATATAAGAATGAACGCAAACCTAAAGAAATAGATTTTCCAGAGGCAGCTATAATAGAGCTGATTATTAGGTATGGTGGTTTCAAGATTACATAAATTCTAGAGTTAAAGAAATCGGATTATTATTATTATTTTTTTTTTTTTTTGTAAATTATCCTATGGGTAAGATTACACCAGATAATGAAGGTTGAAAGCAATAATATTTCTACAATAGTTTTGGGGTTCTTGTATAGGTCTTACTTCTTAGCTCCAATACAGTCCAGGATATGTGCTGGAGTTGTAGTGGAGTTGGAGCATTTTGAGCAGACAGAAAAAACTTTCGTATTGTATAGGTTGGAATATATTTGATATTTACGATCTCCTTTGAAGGTAGACCAAGAAACTACCAACTACGGATATCAAAGTGAATTTATAATTGCGACAAAATTTGGCAAGCCGGATTTGTCTGTCCAATAACTTCCTATCCGAAAGAGAGGAAATATAGATAAAACAGAAAACTAGTCGAAGATATCACTATAACGTAAAAAAATAGTTAGTATCTCGAGTCCTCCAAAATAAAAATGAAATAGTTTGATGAAAGACATAAATAAAAATTAGAGAAAAATTGATTGCCAATATTCGAATTAATCAATTTTCAGACATCTCCATGAACATATTTTGATAATACTTCATCTCTATTCATAATTACATAAAATAGGAGAATGTATTGACAAATTATTGTCACCTGTATTTCTCGGCAATAGAAAGTACTTGATTTTGTTTAAGTATTGTCCCTATATATGATATTTACACTAAATGTGCCAAAAATAGTACAAGAAGTGTCAATAAAATGTTAATAAAGAAATTAATAACGTGTGACATTTGCAAATCTGAATACATTTCTAAAATACAAAAAATATATATACTTATTTTCAACCAACCATAGTAGTAAGAGATAAATCTATATATATAAAATTGAATGTCTGTGTGTCTGTCTGTCTGTCTGTGTGTGTCCTCTATGGATTCGAAAACCATACATCCAATCGCCGTGAAATTTTGGGATATTATTAGGTATATCCCCGGAAAGGTTTACGAAAAATAATTTCTTTAATATCTTGAATATCCTTAGAGTTATTTGCAGATTTGTAGCTTTAACTCGCAAGCAGCGCCACCATTGAGACGGAGATAGGCTTTTTCAAGAGGGGGAGTAATGTTAGGAGAGAGGAGCGCGTCTCGAGGCGGGTGCTCACGTGTCACTGTTAAAAACCTATTTGTTTTGGCTACATCTTTTCCCGTGGACTTAACGATAACTTTTCTAAAACTTATTTCAAATTTCATGTATAATTATTTTTACATCATTTAGTTTAGTATAATTATTTGCTATAATTTCCTATCGTTCAATTATTATACTTTTTGTTCTTAAAGATTATTTAAGACAATAATCTTTAATTAGAAAGTGATTTGCCAAAAGTTTGGAGTGGGGCAGACCCCGTGCGAGAATGGATTCGCCCGGCCGCCGGCCGACAGTCAAAGTACCCACCGACCAATCAGGGCAGAGTTGGTGACACAGCTATGCCAAGTAGACAAGAAAAAAAGCCTCGCGGGAGCTTGCCCAAGATGACCTCCGGGAACTTCGTCCATCTTCCATAAACGACCATGAATTTATTCAACCTTATCGAGTATTTTTCAAGGGACCGGGAAAAAATGTTCACTAGATAAAACGATGATTTTGTAATGTAGAAAATTAGGAAAGACAAAATTCAGAATGACACGGCACACAGGGACCGGGAAAAAATGATCACTTTATCAGTTTCAAATTATCAAAATATATCTATTTCTTTTTATAAGTCTATAGAGAATTGTTTTAACAAATGTTCGTTAGACAGACCTTTACTCGGGTACCGATTAATATTGAATTTATTCAACTTATCGAGTATTTTTCAAGGGACCGGGAAAAAATGTTCACTTTATCGAGAGATTCGTTAGACAAACCTTTACTCGGGTAAAACACGGGCAAATGTTCGTTAGACAAACCTTTACTCGGGTAAAACCTCGGGCGAAGCCGGGTACGTCCGCTAGTAATTTATATAATAGCTGAGTCATTTCTGCCATTAAATGTTGATGATGTAGTTTAGTATCTCAATATTTATATTTATTTGATATTAATGTATTATTTCCGTTATATATTATAATTTACTTATTAAAACACGTATTAAAATAATTATCATCTAGCTCTAACATACCTGAAAGTTGAATTCGTGTAATAATTTCTAAACTACTGAAATTTTAAATATAAATATATGACGTTAATATAGTATATGTGAAAAAATAGGAATTACTTGTTAATCACACAAGCGAACAGTCTAAAGTATTCATGATAAAATTTGGAAAAACGTTTTAAAATACAAAAATATTTTATCACAATGAGTTTTTTTTTTTTTGAAATGCTAGCTTTCATCGATAATCTCTCTTCAACGGGCTTAATAAAAAAATCTTGTAAGATATAGTCGATGTTTTTTTTTATTTATTAAGCCCGTTGAAGAGCGATTATCGCTTGAAAGCTAGCATTCTAAAGCAATAAAACATGAGGCAATAAAGCACCACATCTTATAAGAAATTCGAATAGTAAGCGCTTATATGTTTTTAAGGATTATTTGCGGTGTAGTGACCTGAGGAACAAAACAACATGTGACAGCTGTCCTTGAACTAATGACAAGAACCTGTCGCGATAAATATACAGTTAGTTCCTTGCGGTTTGTGACACTTACATATAATGACAACTTTGGGCCCATTGTCTCGAATCTAGTGCGAGGACCTCAATTTTCTTCTAATTGATATTTTATAGAATTTACTAATGTCTGGATATTCAGTGTGGTAGTTAGCGGTCAAACTGGCTTCTATTAACTTCATTAACACCATATAACGCGATATCCCAACAAAGGGATATTTACGTCATTACATATCTTTAAAATACAATATAATGCTGTTTATGATTGTAATAATTTTCAAATGTTGTTCCACAATCATAAGCCGCATTATATTGTATTCTAAATTACTTTATATAATATTTACGAACGGAAAAATATGTCCAGGGTAGCCTAGTGGACATGGCATCTGCCCGGTAAGCGTAACACTGTGGGTTCGATTCCCAGCCCTGGGGGTCGGTGGAAGGCTGGTTAAACCGCTTGGTTTTCGACCACTACGACCCGGGTTCGATTCCCGCATTGGACACTTTTTTCTGTTTAAAAAAAAATGCTCCAATGGCCCCCCATAATTGCAAAAGTCCAACCCCACCAGCGAGTGCAAGTAACCAAACGGGGCTCTGGCACATTTGTAAGTGCAAAGTCAAACTGCTTTTCACATGTGTAAACATGTGGTGCGCTTACAGTAAAAAGCAGTCGCTAAGTACCCACCATGATCATCATGGCCTGTACCATGTGTACTAGGGATAAGCAAAAAAAAATCTTCACAATTCATCCTTTCATACTTCATTCCTAAGGTTAGAAAATATCGTTATTTCTCCTTAAAATAAATTTCAATTTTTCGTTCGAAAGAAACACATGCGGGATAATTTTCAAATGACGTTCTGCATTTATCTACATCATAAAGAATAGGTTATATACAAGTGCTTATAAAATTATTTTACATAATTATCCAAAGAAAATTGGTCAAAGAGAAAATAGTCAAACATACAAAAGCAATTTCCTCAAAATTTCCTTCACTCTCTTTCCCAGTTCAAAATATAGTTGTATATACATATGTATATCTACATATACATATGTATATCTACAAAATTGATTAAAATGTTTATATGTTCTTTTCTCATCTACGAATTCATGTAGCTGTCCGATGCCACAAATTTACTTTCCCAATAATCCCGAAAAATTGGGCATTCCAGAGTAGCCTCTATGGTAACCATTATCTTGCTCTAACTCTCAATGAATCAAATTTCAACTGACCTGGTTCTTGTAGCCTTCTCAAATCTTTTCAACTTCAACTTCACTGGTAAGTACAACGTGTAAACAGGTGAACCGTGTAAATATAAGCTATAACGGCTTCTACATATATATAATCTACATAGATAGATAATTTACAAAAAACGATTCATCAGTGTGGTTGAAATACAAATTGATTTTAAAGAGAACACGAGTCCAATAGAACATTATGAATTCAATAAAATCTCATAATAATAAAACCATTAAATGTTTTTACACGAAGTTCATCATATTTCTACATATATAGATATGTAGTGAACTACGTATAAAATATACTTAATAGTTTTATTATTATGAAAGTTTATAGATATCATAATGTTTTATTGGACTCGTTTTCTCTTTAAAATCAATTTGTATTTCAACCTCACTGATAAATCGTTTTTCGTAGATTAATGAGGTCTATTGTATCTCAAATCTCTTGAAGAATATTCTAGAAGTGACCGAGATATTTGTTTTCCTGAGGCTATTTCCGAAAATATATATACAAATCTATTTTAACCATTTATATATTCACATATAAAGGATATAAAGCAAAGAGAAAATAGTTTATTCCATAGGTCCTCATTTGAAAGCTAAAGGAAAAGAGCATGTAGAAATATAACTAAAATTTTATCAAGGAGGGGGGGAATTTGATATTTTAGATTAAATTCCATATAAATTAGAAATTTACTGACAATATATATGCTAAATATAATATATACTACAATATTAATAATTATTTATTAAGAAGTGCTTTTAATAGGTGTAAATTTACCAATAAAACATAATATATACAGTTATCAGAGTCATCAAGCAACAATTCCTAATAATCAATTCTGTCACCGTTTGCTTTCTGAATGGAATAAATACCCAAATATGGCCATTTCTCATAACCATCGGTGGTTCAGTGGTAGAATGCTCGCCTGCCATGCGGGCGGCCCGGGTTCGATTCCTTGACGATGCATTTTTTTTTTTTTTACAATTTTTAAAACTCATTTATATATTATACAAGAATGACATCCACGTCGTCAATTTATAATTGTAACGAATAGTATTTGAATAAAATCATTTAATCGGGTAAAACCCGGGCGTTGACCGGGTCATTCGGCTAGTAATTTATAAATTACAATGGAATACTTATATACCCGTTCCCCAATAATTTGACTTTAGCGTCAACATACTCTCTTTATAGAACGGCGTTAATCAAGTTTTACCGCAAATGTTTATTTTAACATACACAGACCTAAAATCGTTATTTAAATTATTTTAAGGAGAAATAACGACTATTCCTATCCTTAGGGATGAAGTATGAAAGGATGAATTGTGAAGAGTAATAATGAAGTTAAAAATAAAAATGCCCAAGGATGGGAATCGAACCCACAGTGTTCCGCTTACCTAGCAGTTGTCATATCCACTAGGCTAACCTGGACATATTTTTCCGTTCGTAAATATTATATAAATTAATTTATATACACAAGTATACAATAGTAGATCGGTATGGTAGATTAAACTAGCGAACCCCTGGGAGGCTTCACCATTTATGAGGCAGGATTTCTTAATATCTAATAATTGCAAAAAAAAAAGCAATAGGGATTTTCGTTCATTTAATAAAAATAAACGTAAATAGTTTTCAATATTGACAACACTTTACTACATTAATAGCTAGTCTTAAATTGGATTGTCACATTTTTAGTGTTTTCATTGAGAACACATTCGCATTGTGTTTTAATCGATAAATTATTATATTATATTTCAGTTTTCATATTTCCAGTAATATTAAACAATTAATAATATTAAAACCTATGAATTAAACTGCATGCATTTTTCAATAATATATTTGAAGGAATTTATTGCATATAATGTGTGATCAAAATTGAAATTAAAGGTATTTAATATTTAAATTTAAAAATTGATTTAGATTCATCTCTCGGTATTTGAATATTTATATGTATAAAATAGATAATATATATAATTCAATAGAAATTTTTACAAGCATAATAGCTATTTTACAAAATATATCCCTGCCAAGAAGTACAACCACTCCTCTACGTGGTGGGCGAGAGAAGCAGTACAAGTAAAGGACTGCCCTGTAGGTTGAAATACAGTGTTGTGAGCCCCGAGCCGCTACGGTAACCGTGAACAGGGAACTCTGAAATGTGGCTGACTAACGGGGCAATGGCACCCCTCTTTATATGGAGCAGCAAAATCAGAAATTGACGATTCATGCTACTGCGTCCGATGGAGCCGACGCGCTGAGGCCTGCAGTCATTCGAACCAGTAGGAAATATGCTACGAGGACCCAGAACATCTTACAATCAAACATAAATTATGGACAAGACACCACCACCACAAAATATTTCAAATTTAATTTCAATTCAACTTCATATTTAATAACAAACAAAGTGTGCATATTTGAGGTATCATACTATACATGAAAGATACTATTGTCTTATTAATTACTTTTTTCACCACGATATGTAATTATATTTTAAAATAGAAACTAATTATACATATAATGGTTATTTTACAAATCGATTTTCAAAGAATACGTTGTAAAACAAAGATAATAATGTCTCAAGTTACTATTTATGTCGAGGTATTAATTGTTGAAATCTTACCTAAGCAAATGTTGTGGAGGGTTTTCCCAAATTGACCAAGGTCTCCATACAAAAACCTACAATTCGTAGAAAAGAAGGCGTGAGATTTGCTGTCACAGCGATCAGCCTGGTCTTTGACGTCACAACCTTAGCACTTTTTTTCTATCCACACAAGGAAATAGGGTTTAAATGGTTTTTCTATCATCTATTATGTACCTAAGTGGATAAACATGCATTTGTATGAGATTAGTTTTATATAAATAATGTATAAGATATTTCTTTTTTTATATATGGAATTCAATTCTATTGTCTTAAATGTAAGAGTTGAGAGTATCTGAGAGATGAAAATGAATATTACCTAAAAGAGCATATATGACTGAGGTAATGGTTTAAAAGTGCAAGGGATGGAAAATATATTCCAAATGAACTTGTTGAAATTCTCATATATTTGTATTGAAAATCTCTGTTAGAATCTTGTAGTGCTCGCAGTGCTTCATTTTATAATGTATTTTTCATTTTTGAGTGATTTGAATAGCAATCAGAGTATAAGAATAAGTAATTATTCAATTTGTGTCTATGCGCTTCAAGATTCGATCAATTTTTTCTTGAGAGTTAGAATGATAAAAGTTTGTATAAACGAAATTCGTCTAAATTCGAATAAGTTAAATTAAGATTGTAGATTCATTGACGTATAGTATTTACCGTAATTTTGGCAGGAAAGTTGTGAAACATTTTCTGTTATTCCCATAATAATATCGGATTATAAGTATAAACTTTTTTATGAGTTATTAAAAGAGAAAACACGCCTATTGTAGCATTTAGAGTTGAAAAATTCTGTACAAGACTTAATACCTTATTTGGAAAAAAATATTCAAAAATTATTTTCTGGTATAAAACAGGAAAAATGAATCTTTGATATAGAAACCTTCAGCACAATAGAAAAATAAGATTTTAGACTAGAAAATGTCCTAGACCAGGGGTTAGCAACTTTTTCGTCGGAAGAGTCAAAAATGACAATTTTGTACCTCTACGATCAAAATTTTGTCCCAGAGGCTTCCTGAGAAAATCAATGGGAACTTAAAGCCAAGTTTGTGTAAATACGATTTTCACGTGAAAAAATAATTTAAAAAATTAATATATATATATATATATATATGTCGCATCTCTCTCTGTCGTGGTCGAATGGAAGGGCGCAGCCGTTTTGCATGCATGCTTCGAAAAAGAATTTGTTCGTGAGCGCGCGCGCACTGGCCACCACGTTTACTTTGTACAGATTTATAGATGGATGAATTTGCATTTACAATTTAAACATACTAATTGTGGCGAAAATAAATTAATCTCTTGGGCATTAGGCAAATTATGACATATATATTTCTATACTATTATATTAACCTTATTAGCACGGTTTCTTTGAACTTTCTTCTAGAAAGAACAAGCTGACTCACTTTCGATTCAATTCGGTTTATTTCAAACAACAACAAAGAATTACACTAAGATTTAATGCGATTTAGTTGTAGGTGCCCAGAGACTATATTAACACAAAAAAAAAAACAGAAAAGAAAAAAAAACAACAAAAAGAATGATGATAAGTAACAATAA